ACACAAAGCAACAGGGGAGTGGTTATTGTTCACATCATAGGCGAGAAAAATAAAAAAGGTAGCAAGGACAACGCTTACTCGTGTGCAACAAACTTGGGTCGAGAGTATACAGTAATCCAGTTTCTGTAGTAGTAGCGTTTATCAAAGTTCGTAGAAGTTTGGAATGACACATTCTTGAGTAGGGTTATGGCACTATCCCCTGTCTGTTGTGTATTAGTGCCAGCATCTGGTGGCCATGAGCTATAGCACGTAGTGTAAACGTGACAGGGTATCGTCAAGGCGTTTTTTGAAAAGGGATAGGGTGGGTGCCTTAATTACATGTTCCGGGAGGGCGTTCCAAGGCTGTGCCACTCGAAGGGAGAAACAGTTCGGCCGACCTTCCAGGCGGCTGTACTGCGTGACTAACTTAAACTGGTGACCTCTTAGCGAGGCGTTTTGACTGAGTATTAGAAGGGAATGGCATGGGTGATTGGGGTCTCTCAGGATTAGGTACAGCAATATGAGATCGCCCCTTAAACGCCGATAGCGTCCACTGTATATTTGAAGGTCTTCAGCCTGAGTGGGTAGGGGAGGCTGGTCAAAACGCTGACGCTCTTCGTTGCCCTAAGTTGTGCAGTATCAAGCGCGGTGAGATGGTGCTTGAGCTAGGGTTGCCACGCTTGGATAGAGTATTCCGCTTGTGACCTCACGTGCGTACTATGCATTTTTGGGAAGACTGAAGGCTTAAACTTCCCGAAGGCTCTACGAAGAAGGCCGAGGTACTGGTTAGCTTCCTTAGCTGCCTTTTCAGTCTGCCTTGAACAACCGAGGGCATCTTGAACTATCACACCGAGATCGCACTTGTAAGAAGCCCGCTGTAGAATTTGCGGTCTTAGGCGGTAGTTGTGCATACCCTTGTGCCGTATGCTGAGAACTTTTCACTTGCTGACGTTGAAATGCAGCATGTTCTAGATGGACCATGTGTACACTTTGTCCAGATCCTCCTGTAAGAATGTGTGATCCTCCACTGCAGCTATATTGCGCCACACCTTCAGGTCATCGGCAAATAGCAAACAGTTAGAAGATAGCACACCCGTGAGATCATTTATGAAGACCATGAACAGGCGGGGTCCAAGTACCGAGCCCTGAGGTACGCCGCATTGAGCTTCAATGGATTCTGATAGGTTGCTTCGAACCCACATATTCAGGTGACGTTGCAGGAGAAAGTCACCTATCCAGTCCAGAACAGGATCACCGATTTCATATTTCTGGAGTTTGTGGAGGAGAATGCAATGGTTTATACGGTCGAATGCCTTTGAGATATCCAAGTAGGCCACGTCGACTCCTACACCAGCGTCCGCGGATTCCGTCCAGCTTGCACGAGCAAGCAGGAAAGTAGGTGTACAAGAGTGATTTTGGCGACATCCATGCTGTTCCGGAACGAAAATTTGGTTGTTCTTCAGGTACCCCATCAAAGCCGCAGCCACAATGGACTCCATAACCTTGGAGATCACAGGCAGTAGTGTTATCGGGCGATGGTTTGCTGGTTCAGCACGGCTACCACTTTTGTAGACATGCGCGATGATTCCGTGCTTCCACATTGTGGGGAAGTGCATCTCGTTTAGACATCGTTGAAAGAAAATCGCTAATGGTCCTGCCAAACTCATGACAGCAACTTTCAACGCCTTCGGTCCAATGCCGTCCGCACCCGGGTAGCTGAACTCGCGCAGAGACATCAGCCTCTTCAGTACAGCTGCGGAGGTGAATGATATGTGATTAAGCCCTGATGGCGGCGTTATCTGCTTAGGCAGGATGTATGGTGATTGCGCGTTTTGGAAGGTACGGCCAAATTGTTGTCCAAGGACGTTGGCCGCCTCTTGTGCGGTTTGGGCTAACCCGCATGCTGTGTGCAGAGCAGGAATACCGCGCTTACCACGGCGCAAATTGTTTACGTGTCTGTATAGCAGTTTGAAATTGGAGCAAAAATTTTCCACCAAACCTTGTTGGTTCTTAAGTTTATCCTCCCGGACGAGTTTGACACAGTGGTTCCTTTGTATTGTGTAGATCTCCCACGTAGGGTCGTTCTAGGAGGCTATGTAAGTTTGCCATGCCAAGTCCCTTAATGCCATGCACGTACGTGTCCTGCTCCTTACGAAAGGCTTCATCCTTTTAGATCGGTAGAGTTTGGCTTCAGATGTCCTTGCCACGAGCTTGGTAAATATGTTGACGAATTCACCGCAGGCAACCTCAGGGGGTTAATTCAGCTAAAAACGACCAGCTTGCTGCATCAATTAGGTCGGACAAGTGTTCGTAGTTGGTTACGACACGATATTCCTCGGTAAGCTCTATTGTATAATCCGCGTAGCACATGTAATGAAACACTAGCGTCGCATGATCACCGCGGCCCAAATGAGTATCGGTTATCACTCTCTCGACCATCAGTTCTTCATTGGTGAATATTCGGTCCAACATGGATGGCCTGTTAGTTCCCCTGAACCTGGTGGGCGTAGTGACGTGGCCGTAAAGAGAGTAGTCTGAAACCAGATCTTGCAACTCTGCTTTGAATTGCTCTCCTGGTGTGGCCTGGGATTCGAGGGCATGTAAGTTGAAGTCCCCGGTGACTGGAATGTGACTGTACTTCCTCTTTATTACTTGCCTCAACGCAGCCATTAAATTGCAGTCCATCTCACGAGTAGACGATGGTGGGCGGTTAACAACAACCAATAGGCAAAGATCGTTCCTTCTTAGCCAGAAATTACACCAAATGGCGTCAGGGACGTCTGTTTTCGAATCGTTTATGCGCTCGCATTGCACGTTGTTACGAAAATAAAGGGCTACCCCACCACCTTTGCTGGTTCGATCCTTCCGCACAACGGACATGCCTGTTAGTGTAATTTCAGCATCCGTTATCCCGCAGCGCAACCACGTTTCGGTGACAGCGATGAGGACCCAAGCTGCAGACGCGTGTCGAAGTCTTATTTGTGCTAATTTGCTGAGTAGACCTTGGGCATTTGTGTACATGCATGAAACCGTCTCAGAGACCAAGAGTGTGTTAGATTGGATGGATGATGCAAATGAGTTTACGCGGACCAATGAAGGGTCGGCGACTAATCGTTTTTTGAATGGGTTGCATACTCTAGAAAAGTATTTGATATATAAGCAGGTATCAGATGCCCCGAATCCCTGTGTTTGCTTGGGCTCTGCGGTGCCCCTCCGGATAGTATGACTACGCTTGAAACCGTACCCGAGTCGGTTCCTGCAGTTGGCGCTTTCCCTAAGCGTTGTGCCTCTACTGAATTGGCATTAGAAGTTGTTGGTGTTCCTGCTGCTTTCAGCTGAATTTCTGTTGGCAATCTGCGACGGAATTTAATCCAGTTCGCTAGTAGGGTTGGTGCCAATAATTCTGACTGTAATGCAAGTTTTAACAGCCGGGTACCGCACCCCTGATAGTTTGATGATATGGGGATCCTTGTCAACGAGGTGACCACCACATTTTCGAGAAAAAGAGCTTCCCGGACGTAGTGCCATTGCTCACGGTCATGCATCTGGGCATCGTCGGAGGAGGACGAATGAGATTGCCCGCCTCAGTGCGGCCGAGCAGACGATCGTTCGCCCAATCGGATAGGTTTTAAACACACAGCTAGTTGTACAGAAAGGCAGAATTGTAAATAGAACGCTTGTGTGCTAGGTCGGTATGTTATTACGCTTGACGCGGCTGGCAGACCCAGGCTCACCACATCTTCAGAGCTAGCATCGGTGGTTCCTGCTCAACGGAGTGTACCGCCCACGGCGGTGTACCTCATGGCTCTGTTTTAAGCCTGCAGTTGTTCCTTTTATATATAAATATTATGGCTCCGTCCCACGAGAACCTTTACTATGTATTTGACGACGACGTACAACTTGCAAACAGGAACGAAAGTGGCACGTTACCAGAAGGTAGTTGCACTGTAGCGAGATGGTCTTCCTCATGGGATTTGCTCATCAATGCCGGTAAACGTCATTTGTTGTCTTAAAGCAAAGGGGCTTACGGTACAAAATGATACCGTCACCCAGATGTTGCAGTCCGTTGACGAGGCCGATATTTGTGTATCATATAATGAATACCTTTAAAACAACAGCAGTGTCAACATGCGGCCAACAAGGCGCGGCAGGAGTTATTCCGCAGCAAAAGAAAGTTATGCAACACTAAGCCATAGGTTTTCCTCCCATTATATAAGGCGGTGGCACGGCCCCAACTAGAGTACTGTGTGTAAGTATGGGCGCCGCATATCAGGAAGACCGTCACTTGCATAGAAAAGATCCAAAAACTGGCTACTAGTGTGACTGAGAGCCGTTACCGGAAGTCGTACGCAGAACGCCTAAGGGGGCTAGGATTGTTCGCTAGGGAGCTGCGCAGGGTACGAGGGGACCTGATTGAAACGTTCAAGATTATCTATAACCTCAGTGAAATAAAGCCCAACTATTTGATTAAACTGGCAGCATCCAACCACCTACGAGGGTATAAAATTAAGATTCAGCATCAGAGATCCAGGGTGGAAAATAGACCCAAGTTCTATTCAAATCAATTTGTTCACAATTGGCGAACTTGCTTCTACCTTCATCAAAATTTCCACTATAACCGCCTTCATAAACGACCTTGTTACGTGATGACCGGAGCTTTTACCTGAATTGTTGTCAATCTATTGGCAATCGTGACAAGCCGTTAAGTATGTGATCCAAGAAAGTACAAAGGTTGCCCTTGTCTTGCTTCATTTCATTTGCAATGGCAAGGAAGACAACTCAGAAGTTAACTTACTGAGGGCGCTGGTTTGCTTTCTGGTACGAAAAACAGGACGCCTATCATGCAGAAGTCTATGTTCGACCTTGGAAACTGACGTGACCAGACGTGCTACATTTGAATGTACCGCCGAATATGAAGTGAACTCAAACCACATAATGTGTGTAAGGAACAGTTAAATTACAGTGGCGTAATTGCTTAGGTGTATTTCCCGCATATATCTGTAATGCTCACACAAAATAAAATTTAAACCCACCCTTGTTGCATTCACTTTCTGAAGGCGACTCAGCTTTCAGTAATAACAGGTTAAATGGTTTACATTACTGCGGAAATATACCAACGGTTCGGGTGATTTGCAATTATACTTCATTATTAGCGTCATGTGTTTCAACAACCTGTTTCTATTTCATCTCCAGGCGTTGACGATTGCAGCATTTCAAAGCTATGGCAGTACCGTTTTCTAATACGGATTTACGTATACCCCACGGGTTTCCTGCGTTGTTGGAAGGCCTTTCGCGTGAAGTTCTAAGACACCAACCCCAAGACATTTTTGGATTTGCGGAAAAGTATTTTGAAGAGTTGCTGAAAAGACGTGAAGGTATACATTGCTTTTTTCATTTGGTCGCGCTTCGATCCTAGAAACTGGTACTGAAGATTTAGCGCAGCTATGTGCGAGGTTGAATGACAGATACTACAACAACAGGGCCTATTGTGTGAGTCTGTTATACCTTCTCAAGTTCAAAACCAAATTCATGCGACATCTGGAAAATGTGCATAGTTTATCCTACTGCTCATTCATTCTGCTCATTCCTAAACTAAATCTTTTTCTTCCATAGCTGTCTGCTGCTATTTATTTGCCAGGTTAATGAGCACCAATCTGAGGTCGTTTAATGAACCAAAAAGTACATTGTCCCCACAGATGGACGGCCAACCGTCCCATTTAGGCGAGTTTTCGGTCACTGTTAGAAATAAAAGAAATGAATTAATGTAAAAATATGACAAAAAGTGTTATAATGCATTGTTAACACCAACGACCACTACTTCTAATTCGTTACCTTTTGTTAAAGTCTAATATTTATTCCGCGAAATCAACTGAAACATGCTGCTAAGTGCGCATTTTGTGCTCCTGGTGGTCACACTTAGACGCATTGGAACGAATTTCGGCCACGCAAAAACGGTAGCGGCACGTCTTTGGTACTGCGTTCAAGTGGGAGTGGAACAGTAGGATGAAACCCCGTGAAAGTTCCTTCCGTGGCGCATCGTTGCTCCAAAGTATTATTCGTGCGCGATAACTGGAATCCAGAAGAGTCAGATCAGTGCGCGATTCCCACAACGGTCAACCAATTTATACATACCCAACCTGCATTGGCAGTCCCCGCCGCACCGGTCACCTGAAATAAGAAAGAAATAAGCAACATTAGCGTCAAGTAGTAAAAAGTAATAGATCTAATAATTCAATAGGGCGAATAAGCTAGGATGTGAAGTGGAATGTTAAGAATTGTAGGTCAAGAGTATCAAGTCCGTGTTCGAACTCTTTCACGGTTGGTGTCAGTAGCACGTTCTCGGGCAGTGCATTCAACGAATCTACCACTCTGCGTGATAAACGGAAGTCCGCCCGAACTTCATCCGATCGAGGTTTGTGTAGCTTCATCGAGTGATCTCCGGGAGATGGAAGCCGAGCCGGTTGGAAAAGCTCAGATAAATCGGGTCCGATTTTACCGGTAAGTATGCGATAGGTCAATACCAGGTCGCCTCGATGGCGACGATAATTCATTGAGAACATTCCCAGCTCAAGCAGTCTTTCTGGGTAATAAATATTCCGTAGTCCTTGAACCAGTTTAGTTTCAACACGCAACACTCCCTTCACTGACATCCTGTCCCTGAGTAAGCAAGGTGGACAAGCCTGGATGCAGTATTCGAAGTGTGGCCTAAAAAGAACTGAGAATAACCTAACAAACATAGCGCCCGTGATGGTCCCCAATGCCCTGCGGATCATCCACAACATTCTGAAACCCTTGCACGTAGCTTTCCTCCAGTTCTCACTGGATTTTAGTTCTGAAGACAACGTGACGCCTAGGTCTACCAATTGGGTAACATGGGGTATTTCATTACCGCCAAGAAAATAACGCGTTTGGAGGCTATTCGGCCCTATTCGTAAGATGGAACTTTTTGCATAATTTATGGGCAACTGCCACAGAGCAGCCCAGTCCCAAAGTTTATCGAGGGCCCGTTGCAGAGACTGGGGTCCATCGAGGTCGGACGCTGTGTGCCAAAACTTTAGGTCATCTGCAAACATGAGAGATGGTACCCCCAGCAGTTCGGGCAGCTCATTGCCATACATGGAAAATAACAATGGGCCAAGCACAGAACCCTGAGGGACCCCACTGAGGACTAACTGACAGAAAGACAGATTAGACCCCACACGAACACATCTCTCTCCCTTCCAGAAACGTGGTGGTCTATTGTAATTTACTCCCTGATGTTCAATAGGATCGAAGCTTCAAGGAGAGGCGAGATGGTAATACAGTTTCGAACGCCTTGGAGAAGTCAATAAACACTACATCTACTGCCTGACGCTCATCCAAAGCATCTTCCCAACATTCGCGTGCAACTAGCAGATTAGTCATGCAGGAGTGACCCTTGCGGAAACCGTGTTGAAGTAGACTGAGCAGACCAAACTCCTGCAGGTGGTTTTCAAGCACATCCGTTACCAACTTCTTCAATACCTTGACCAATACGCTTGTGAAACTTATCGGTCTATAATTGGCAAGGAGATGCTTGTCACCTTTTTTTAAAAATCGTGCGGACGATGGCATCCTTCCAGTCCTTGGGAAAGGCGCAGCTGCAAAGCGATAACTGAAACAAACGCCTCACTGCGCCACATAGCTCGCTTGCGAGTTCGTACAAAAGCTTAGGGTAAATATCATCCATCCCAGCGAATTTAGCAGGATGTAACCCTTGAAGAAGATGGAGAACTTGTGTCTCCGAAATTAAGGCGTCCGTTAAACAAGTCCTATGGGATTCTCATCGCTAAGTCAACATACGGCAACTGCTCATCCCGAACAAAACTCCCTGCATACTGCGCACTGAGTAGACATGCTTTTTCATGATCAGTGTTGGCAGTGGCGCCGTCGCTGCCTAATAACACTGGGATTGGTGAGCCAACGTTACTACGCCTTTTGACGTAGGCGAAGCATGGTTGGGGATTTGCGGAGGCCGAGTTAACCAGCTCCATCTCATAGCTAAGCCTAGTAGCTCGTAAATGACTCTTGCAAGCATTCCGCGCTTCACGATAACGCCGAAAAGCACATTCCGAGAGGACTGTCCGGTAGATCCGCCAGCATCTCGCCCGTCTATTCATTAGCTGGTGTGCGACTGAGTCCAAGCATGGTGGCTTCGCTTTGGTAATCTTCTTCATCGAAAAAGGGATGTGGGTGGGATATGTTAAAGAGGAACAGTATTTGCGATCAGAAGGAGCGCGAACGGAATCTTGGCGAAAGAGTAGGAGGCGAGGCCAATGTGGGATGATACCTCACCTTGAAATTGGCCTCGGTTAGTGCAGGTGAGCATACTTGTTTGGAAACGCTTGTTGACGTGGACGTGACCTCTGATGTTTGTGTGGTCAATTTAGTTGTCCCTTCTCGCCTAGCCTCCCTTTCCAAGCAGGTCAGTTTCCAAGGACGAAAATAGGCTCTTGCCTAACGAGCGTCCTGTTTTTTGTACCAGAAAGCAAACCAGCGCCCTCAGTACTTCGACTTCTGGGTTGTCTTCCTTGCCTACGCAAAATAAATGAAACAAGACAAAAGCAATCATTGTACTTTTTTGGATCATAGACCTAACGGTCTATCATGATTGCTCATAAATTTACAATAATTCAGGAAAAAGATCCGGCCAACAATTATGCAGGCAGTTTTTGAAGGCTGTTACGGTGACACTCTCAATTAAGGCAGAAGGAAGTTTGTACCAATTATGAGCAACTCGATTTGCAAATAACTTGGCTCTAATCTCCAGCCTGGATTGATGCTTAATTTTAAGTTCGTGCCCCCAACTACGCGTTCAACGTACTTGGAGTACACCCCAACGGCGCCCGTCGCTTTCGCACTTGCCGCTTCTCCGTATGTACGAGGGCTTTCTTTTGCACCTCGGCAACTGCCTGCGGGTATCATTCTCAGCGTAGTCTAAATATAATGCATTATATTGTTCGTTTTGTTTTACTTTATTTTTGCGGCTGTCTAATCGTATTTTATCACGGTAAAATAGCGCAGAGGTTTTTCATCTAGCTAGCGTGTGATGGTGAGGCTGGTACTAATGAATGGGCTGGATGAACAATGTTATGTTGTACCAGTTGGTTTTGGCAAGAAAGCTGGTGCTACACTCGATTTTGTTGGGCTTGAACCCCTTACGTTGGCTGGATCATGTCCTCCAGTGACCGGATTCCTCGACATGCGCTATAACGCCGTCATTGCACCAAGTTGGGCGAAAAAGCGAGGTGGTCAGTCGATGACGTGACGTATAAACGTGAAGAAATCGACTGCGGAACTTGGTCAGATTTGTGAATGTTGCCTTCGTGGATGGAGGCCCCGGGATGGTCCACACAAGTGCTTGAAGCTTATCAGACACGGCGCAGTCGGTGGCGTTCCTACATTCGGTTACTTGCATCTAGCAGTTCCTATTTATTCCGTCCCGAATATTTTTCCGCACTTCGTTCTTAATTGCTTTTTATTTGTATTCTGTTTGCGTTCAATATCATTTTCTTACTGCTGGTATTTGTTGTTATTTTGCCGACGCGAGTTATGGCAAATAGATCCGCCGCACCTCGCTACCCGGATCGTAGTTGTTCAACTAAACTGAATGCAGAAGTAGTACGAAGGTTCGCGTACCTCTTCCACCAATGAAACTTAACTTGGTGCGACGGCTTATGTACCTCCGTGGTCCATTGATCTACACTGGTGATAGTTTTAAGTGTCTCCAGAGCCAATTATTCATTGGTTCATTGGGTAGTGGAGAGCAGGAGGGAGATCCCTTGTCAGTTCCATCGCTTCCCGATCATTGCTGGGATGCTCGTCATTGCGCATCGGAAACTCCGGAGAGGCCATCGCACTTGTAGCTGAAGCAACACCATCCCGGCATATTCAACAAGTGGGAATCAAGTACTCGTTTGAAGCAATCCTCCGTCTGCGCATCAGCGACGGGCAGCGGTAACCGGTTCCAGTTATTCACAACGCGAGTGGATAGAGCAAGAATGGAACGTACTTTGAGCCCCTGTGCTTTGAATATTTTCCATCGGTGGCCTATAGTCGAACTCCCAACGGGTCATTGTTAACAGGTAACTCCAACTTAGTCTTAAGATCATTTTCGGGGTTTGAAGAGAGATCCAAGTTTCTCTTCCCTCCCAACGTAGCAATGGGAGACGACTGTCACGCGTTGTAAGCCCATATCTTGATTGGCGTATGGCACGAGTGCTACGCATTGCACCTGATGATGTAAGAACATCACCAGGTGCTCAGTGGTTTGCAGCCACCTGTCTCCAGCCATAACGTTCCTGGTCAGATGGCTATGGTTGCAGGTACGTAACATGCTATGTTCAGAAAACACATGTGAACTGTTCTAAACCTCTAGGGACTGTATGTGACAGGCCTCAAGTAGATCCCAATTCTTCTTAATCTGGCTCCTCAACTGGACTTGTTCCCTATTACATTTTGGGTCAGCCTAC